CCTTTCATCAACTTCACCTAAGATAATGAGATAATATTTCACGTAACGAACATTTGACGTGACGTAAAATCCATTATGTAAGCCGGATACACCATGCACAAGAAAATTAATTGTTTACATGACAGAATAGGATCATCGGACTCGAATTTTTTCTTTTCGCAGGGCGGACAACATCACATATCATTCACTCATTACTAAAACGAAAGAAAAATGTGAAATATAATTATAATCTGCCTAAAATCGAAAAAATATCATAGAAAAATTATCAAGAAGAGAAGAGAATCATGTTTTTGTTACTCGTTTCGTTTAGGTCACGAATTTTTTTTTTGTCTTCTCTTGACTGCATCTTATGGTCTTGTCCCTCACGAGTACACAGCGTCGTTAATCGTCCTGGGTATAAGTATTGGTGACAGATGTGGGTCAGTTGGGGTGACTACAAGCAGGCCACGTCCGCCCTCCCAGGACACGACACCTTACTCACCCCCCCCCTAACCTTACTCACCCTGCCCCTAACCTAACCTTACTCACCCTCTCCCCCCCTAACCTAACTTGCCACTCACCCTCCACACAACCTTCTTGCCACTCACCCTCTCCCCCCCTAACACCTACTTGCCTCCACCTCCCCACCCCCTAACTAACTTCCTCCCCTCTCCCCCCAGCCTAACCTTACTCACCCTCCCTCCCCTTTCTTCTTCCTCTCCCCTAACCTAACCCTAACTCCCTACCCCAGTCTTATCCATTAATATCTCTACCCTTATCCTCCTCATCCCTAATCATACGGCCAAAATATCTCTTTTCTAATATTGTACAAAATTACACAATATTACTCACATTATTTTTTGCCAATTTATGTACTTCTTTATTTGTTTTGCTGCCAGTAGCTTATTCTTACCATTCGTCTATAACACCACATTCCAAAGGCCTCTAACCTCTTTCTGGTGTCTGCTGAAAGTGTCCACGCTCCTGACCCACACATCAGTACTGACCATACAACAATATGGCCAGTATGTATCCTAACCTAACCTATCCTAACCTAAAGTAACCAATCCTATCCTAAACTAACCTATCCTAACGTAAGCTAACCTATCCTAACCTAAACTAACCTATCCTAACCTAAACTAACC